TGATTAATTACTCTTATCATGTGGTAAAAAAGGAAACAATAAAACATAAAAAAAAAAAGGAACAATAACTTTACGGCCTTTCAAGCGACGGCCCATTGGAAAAAAAGGTTACTCGTGAGAAGATGGTCAAAGGTCAAGCGTGATGTCTGACTAACACAAGATTCGTATCTTGGAGCTCAGGAATCTTGGATCTCATCTCATGAATGATAATGTCATCAGTTGATTAATTAGTTACAGACTAAACAACGAACACAAGTTGCTAATCAAAGTTAATGTCAGTGATTCTCAATACCAAGTAGCCTCCTGTCTGTCGGAATGCGTTTTAATATTTGATACTAACTTTAATTAGGAGGGTGTTCATCAAACGATTACACACATTAATTCTTCTTTCCCCTTTTAGAATTATAAAGTAAATAAATGATAAATTATATAACAATTCATAGAGCTGATCACAAGGTGGATTACGAAACAACTCGAAACATAAAAGGCATAATCAAAAAAATTAAATCAAAATTATCATCCCTTATTCATGACCTGCATTCACCAACCTAAATAATTCCCACGAAAATAATACGCAACTGTATCATAGTCTTCGTATAAAATTTTGAAATCACTTGCCTTTTAAATTAGTCAAATCAGACCCTGGACTAATTGAGGAGCGAGGTTCCCTATTTTGACTAATTTTCGTCCTTCCAAAGTTGTAAAATAAGAATGTCTTGTGTTGAAATGAAACCCACAAAAATTTATTCTCCTCTTTGGAAGGTTTTAGTTAAAAGCCGAGACTTATGAATATGAAGGACCATTATATATATACATCAATCATAATGGTGGAATTTGTTTATGGAGGGGGAAATGAAGAGAGAAGACTAGAAAAAATAGTAGTAAAGCTCAATAGAATAATATCAATGGCGATCATACCAAACAAAAACAAGTCAATATTTCCATCATTGAGTTGGCCATGATTGGCTTGGCTACCTCCTCCATATGCCATCCTCAATGGAAAATTATGTTTTGAGAAAATAAAACCAATTTTAATTGAGGAAAATGAGAGAATTGTAAAAGAATTAATCAAGGAACAGTTTGGAGGAGTTGTTGCTTTGCTAGCTCATTGTCAATGCTAGCTAATTGCCATGCTCCTCATCATCATTGTAGTTCATCATTTTGCTGTAAACAAAGAATGTTTAATACAATAGAGAACCAATGCTTTCCATTATTTTCAGTCCAATACAAAATAGGGCGGAATTGAAAGATAAGATCTATGTGTAGATTTCGAGTTAAATTTAAAATTGAGTAAACTAAATTCACAATTGATGATATTTATTTCGTAGAAGATGTCATAAAAATTTAATTCAAGCAATTTGTGCTTGAAAAACAAAATGTATCATTCAAGGTGGGGACTGAGAACTCAGATATACAAAATTGAGATTTGAATCCAACAAGAATCCATCAAAGCGAAGTATTGTTCCATTCTAATTTTGATCAAATTTCGAAGAACACTTATTGTTATATCCGGGAAAAAATTAATTAGAAGCCCATTTTCTCTGATTGAAGAGTCACACTTGCCTTCTCAGTATCAATGGAATTCCTATTATGCGATGCCAGTCTTGCAGAATGCAGACTACCCTCCTCGCTTTCCTTTAGTTATTAGGAATGAAAAAAGCAGAGAAATGTGCTTTTGTTGGCAACCTAGGTTTGTGTTCTACAATCAGAGATGAGATGAAAGAAGTAATTATGGAAGGAAAGGATTGACAATGGCTTGGAACAAAAGTTACAGGAAGGTTCAATCAAATTCTGATTTTGCAACGTCAGTTGAAATCATCACAAAATGCTGAAGAAGATGATCATAGTCCATAGACACGAGCTTGTAGCTCAACTGATTCGTATATAGAGAAAGCAAATCTTTGGACGACTTTGGTTGGTAAAGTGCACGACTTTTTTTTTTTGGCACACATCCCTTCAATTAGGAAGACCCAAACTTGTTATATTGGTTTTCGTATGATGTAAAAATTAGGATGTGTTAGCACGTCTCAAAAACTTTTTTTTTTGACAAAAGATAATCATATATTGATTCAAAATATGAAGATAGTTACATACTGGAATTCAGCCAGGCCTGAAAATGAAAAGAACGACTTGTAGACGGGTACAAAGTAAGGGCCTTTCTAGCCACCACATGGGTTATCCTGTTGTTATTCCGACCTACAAATCGTAAACTAAACCCAGAGTGAGAATCGAAACACTGCACAATTTCTTCCAGAATAACCCCAACCCTACTATCTCTAGTGTCCGCTCGATTGATCTTGTCAATGATGACCTTGGCATCTCCTTCAAATTTCACGTCCAGGAAGCCATGGGCCACACGCCAGAAGATAGCTTCCCTTAGGGCAAGTGATTCCACCACCAGAGGATCGTCAATAGACCGAAACTGAATCCCCTGAGCTTGAAGGATCTCCCTATGAGGGCCAAAAAGAACCATCCCGCCAGCCGAATGAGACCCAGCTCGCGTAGCCCCATCCACATACAAACAACCGTAGGAGCCTCAGCCAGCCCTGTTGGATGTAAAATAGGAGTCAGACTCGGAGTCACACAATCTACTGGCAAACGCTCCCATTCTTCACACTGCTGGTGAAATTTGCGCATCAAGACAGGGAATCCAAACTGCTTGCCTTCAAAGACAACCCAATTTCGGGACTTCCAAATCCGCCAAAGTCAGCAACAACCGATAAGATAACAAAGGGTTGTTGAATTATGGAGAGCAACCTCTTGAGGAAGAGGGGAAACGTTTGACGGAGCAAACCTTGCCCAAGATGCTCCAGCCCCGAGTAATCCCACAATGCCCGTGCCACGGGACAGTCAAGTAACAAATGTTCCATTGTTTCCGATTCCCCTCAACATACCGTGCATCGAGGGAGAACATTGGCTCTTTTTTCAATGAGGGCTTCTGTAGTAGGGAGGATACGATGAAAAATCTGCCAGACGAACACCTTCAATTTAGGAGGTATATTGGCCTCCCATAGCCGAACCCAACTGGCTCTATCCATCCAGCTAGCCATAGACCTCCAACAACCATTCCTTTATCCAGATCGACAACTAAATGATAGGCAGACTTAACAGTGACCATGCCATCAGTTGTGCCATGCCAAATAAGTCTCAAAAACTATCATCAACTTTATATTTTTTTATATAATTTTAAAAACTTTATAAAACACGTTGATAATGTGTAAGGTAAAATACGCTAACACGAAAAAAATTTCTTTCTCTTTCCATTTATGATTAAATTTTTGAAGCACCACCACTACATGTGCTAGTATCTTTTATATTTTTACCCACATGAAACAAAATCTTCTTGAATACGTATTTTTAGTGGGACTATGAAAAGGACAAGGCAGATTAGGCTGCAAAATGTATAGAGGAACGAAAATTGGAGAATTATTATGTTGTTAGTAGCTTTCACATGGGCATAGTATTATTATATCTTCCTTCCCACATAAAAACATCCACTATAATCCAAAATCCATACCCTTGATAAAAACCCAAAAGAATAGAAAGAGAAGAAGAAAGAAGCCTTCCAAAAAATGCTTAGCATCGTTAACTTCTGAGTTCTGACCATGACAAAATGTTCACATTCTAGATAAGTGAAATTTAGTAACTTTGTTTGATAAATATTAGTGCAAGGTTGTTTCAAAACATGGTGTATGTTATCATTGCTCAAATTATCGAGGAATTTTACAATGCTATATAGCATTGATGCTATAGGTTTTTGTTTTTATGGTACAACTTCATAGTGTACCTATACTTTTTGTACAAATTCTTTTATGGTACAACTTGAACTTGTACCTTTATGTGACGGTACAACTTTAAGTTGTATCATAACATAAATGTAAAAATTTCGTCATTGTATAACCTGAACTAATACATTTAACGTTATGATACAACTTTTAATTGTACATTAAAGCGTCAATGTTTTATAGTATAATAGAAGTGCTCCAAATTATCAATAGATTAGCTCTTTTGGTAGTTTTTCTTATGGTGAAAATTTAGGAGTTAATTGGTATCACATTTTGCTAAATTTTTACTCATTAATTAGTAGCATTATTTAGTAGTTAGTTAAATTCTTAACCTTTACCATTTCAGAAATAATCGCTATTTTGCTCCACTACAATCTCGATGAATAGTTAGTCACTTATAATTTTCAAAGTGTTGTATGAGCCTTCATATAGTTGTGAATTTGAATTGTTTGCGTCTTTAAAAAGAAGCATTTATTAAATTTTATACCCCTTTTGGGGCAAATAAATAGATGAGGCTCGCAAGAAAGTAAATAACACGAAAAAATTATCCAAAGTTAAGTCGTGGTCAAAACTAAAACACACTAGAAATAACGAGTATAAGGTAAATGTCAATCCAATTGATGGCACACGATAAAAAATATATAATTAACTGAATATATATTTTCCAGGCATAATTAAATAATATCAAGACAAATTGGAACACTTCCCATTAAGAGATTAATTGTTGTCTTATTTAAAGAGAAATATAAGTAACTAAAATTAATGGGGAGGGGAGTGAAAACAATAATGGTATTAGGACCTTAATCTCTCTTTCTTCTATAATGCTTCCCTTTTCCTTTCTTCTCCCACCATTAATTAATCGAATCAATAACAAGAATAATGACAAGAATTTACAACAAAAAAGAGTTTCGCTGGCGTGCTAGCTCACTCGACTCAACTCAAACTCGGCCGATTCCGCCTCCACTCTGGTTCGAACCCCGGGACGACTCAGAATGGGTCAACAACTCGGCCCGACCACTCTGTTCTTTCAGCCATCTCCATCGGTAATCCTCCTCAAAAAGGAAACTATACACTCTTCGCGTCAACTCGGCAGCAACCCCAACTCATCAACTCGGTATAGCAAACCAAAAAAATTATGCTAAACTAAACCCCGAGTCGCGACTCCCCCGGGTCAGAAACCCAGAACCGAATCCGAAATTCCACCCGACCCAGTAATCACCAGATTGTGGGTTTCTCCGCGAGCAGGGGACGCGACTCCGTCCACAAATCCGACGGCTTCCGGCGAATCGAATGGCAATTCAGCTTGAGATCCTCCAAATTCGCGAATCGATTCGACCCATCGGACTTGGCGATGTACCGGATGGCTTCCTCGAAGACGGATTCGTCGCAGGGGATGGTCAGGGGACCCTGGTTGTTGGAGAACCCGAACTCTTCCTCGGCTTGGGTCAGGAGCTTGACGAAGACCGGGTGGTTCAGGTACGTCGCACGGACGACGAATCTCCGGCAGCTCGAGCCGACGCAGACGGCGACGTGGCCGGAAGGGACGTCGGAGGGGATCTGCTTGTTGGTCGCTGAGGACACCCTGGCCTTGTTCCTCCACCGCCGCAGCAGTTGGCGGAGCCTCACAATGTGGCGGATTTTGGCGCACTTGGAGAGTCCGGCCGACATTTTTGTTTTTGGAATTGGGAGGAGAGATTGAAATTTTGAATTTTCCCGAGAAAATCCGGCGCTGTTTTGTTTCAGTTCGCAGAGAGAAAGTGAGGAGCGGAAAGGAAGGGGGAATTGGAAAGGGAAAGAGGGGCGGGGGATTTATAGAAGATTGAGGTACGAGATTGCCCCTGGCTTTTGACGTAATTACGAGTTTGTTTGCTTTCTTTTTTCCCTTTACCTATTTTGGTTCGGATTAGCGATGGGATTAAGGATTAGGGGATAGATATATAAATTAATAAATATTGTGTCTTGATAATTTGGAACAGAAACATAAGCATATGATGTTGGGCCAAAAATTAACATGGGAAAAAAGATTTATAATTTTTATTGTTATGTAGTTAGTGAGTGCATGGGGGGAAATATTTGTGCAGAGATTTGATACATTGAATTTGAGACTTGATGACAAAAATTAAGGAGGAGCTTAATGAGTGGGTAATGTGGTTATGTTGTTTTGAGATTAATGGCAGTTTGACTTGATTTTGTTTTACTCTCTCTAGGTAGCTTGTTTAATTTTGTGACAATTAATGGAAAAAGAAACAGTTTAATTATCTGCTTGTGTTGTTAATCCTGTTATCAAAGTACTAAGTTCCCAAAGTTATAGCTACTAGCTCTATCTCCATATTTACTTAAGCTCCATTAATGGGTTTCATGTTTCTTGGTATATAAATATATAGTGTATCACTATAATTAACAAGCCACCGGTCGTTTAGTAGATAATGACGACTTTATGTCTTCATCTATCTTTCGTTTTCACTATAGCGGTTGCAAGCATAATCCAATTTGTGCTTTGTTTAACTTTCACGAGATCAAGATCAAGGCTAGCTAATCTGGGTTTGAAGTTGACATTAGTGTGTGCTAATTAAACGTACGTAGATCCTTTTCCCGACAGCTAAATCATGTACATACATATCAGATAATGTAGTGAAAACAAGCAAAGAAAATGACAGGAGAAAAGGGTATCTTTGCTAGATAGATAGCTAGTTATAAAACCAGGGGCTGATCATCAACTTGGGCAATCGTCTTGTACGCCCAACCGCCGACGGTCTCATCCCTTGCTATAATTAAGAGTCAGGATGTACAAGTGGATTTATTGATACTTGTGATTGTGTCGTGGATTGGATCAATTTATAAAAACGTTATTAACGAGTAAATGCCACGTTTGGTCATTTGGATTACTAAATTGTGTTATGTTTAGTAACTAGAAAAAAATAATATCAATTTTGGTGATTCGAATTACTAAAACAAGTCACGTTTAGTCACTCTCTTGTTAACCTCCGTCTAATTCCGGTCACTCGAATTACTTTTTGTTATGGGACAATCCAAGTACCACATCGGAAATACAAGGGAAGGGACTATTGTATATTAGTGTCCACCAAGCTCATTAGTACGAGGCCTTTTGGGGAGGATACCCAAGAGTAAAACCGTGCGGGCTTTGCCCAAAGCGGACAATATCGTACTAATGGAGCAACCCGATTTATGACACTGTTTATGTTATGAATGTCACTCGGATTACTGAAACATATCACATTTAGTCACTCTCCGTTAGCCTCCGTCTAAGTCCGTTAATGGAGTTGGACGAAAACTAACGGGAGAGTGACTAAATGTGACATGTTTCAGTAATTCGAGTGACCAAATTTGATATTAATTTTTCTAATGACTAAACATGACATGATTTAGTAATCTCATTGACCAAATGTGGCATTTACCCATTATTAACTCTACTCTGTTGTGATCTACTCCATTTTGATCCTGATATATGTTGAAACTGCCTTCTTTGTATGCTTTAAAAGGCCTTTGAATGACACGAAATTTGTTAATTAAAAACCTTGTTTGACATGCTAGAACATGATATACGATGAGAAAACACACCTTATCATAGAATGGAATAAGACGAGCAAACTACAAGCCAAATGCCATCGGAATTTTGTTATTCCTAGAATATCACAAATTAACTGCACTTAGCACAATACCAATCCAAAACTATGAAAGTATGATGATTATAACATTAAGTTTTCTAAGAATTAGGCCTATAATATACACATATTATCAATTTCTTAAATGTCCAAAAAGGCTGAACTCGGAGCGTCGAACAACTCACGATAACTTGAGTGATTTAATCGCAACATATAGATAATACATATTTAATATATATAAATGTGAAGCTTGGTTACTGTTGCCTAATTGTTTTCATTTTGGTACCCAAATTTAATTAAATCACAACTTAGTCACTATAATGTATATTTTACATTTTGATACCGCAAATTTAATTTTAATGTAAAATCATTGAACAATTATGTTTTGGTATCTAAATTTTATGATATTTTTGTACCTAGAATATTTTAAATTTACATATGGGTCCAATGTTTATATTTCACGTGAATTCATGAATCCAATCCACCAATCCTTTTGAACCAATCCACCATAACATAAAAGTATAAATTTAGTTTGTACAATACAAGATGTTGTATCACTCAAACTGTAGGAGATGACTCGACCATTTTAAAAGAGCGAATTTATAAACTCATTTAGTACATTTATGGGGTACTAAACAAACTTCTACTAGCTACATGTAACAAAATATGCGACATCTACATAAGCAAGTGTCAATAAATTGCTACGGTGAAAGGGGTTGATTGTTATCTTGACGTTTAACTAAAAGAATTGATCAAAATCTTTCTATCATCTACTTCCTCTTCGTTTCATTTTTCACTCGCCTTCCATAACCTTTTTTTATTTCTTTCTTCGCCTTCTTCGTCTAAACCTAATTAGTATACTATTTTTATGTATTCTAATAACAAGTATAAACGGGTCCATACACGACTCACCAACAGTCTAGAGAACTAATAATTGAACCATGAACCACTAAATTTTTCAGCTCAATGTCCAGTCCAATAAAAAATAAATATATATATGGTTATATTAGAAAGTCGTCATTTTCTACTATGGGATTCGAGGGCGTGAAATTTTAAGCGAGTTACAGTTTGTATTCCTTTTGCTTCTCTCTATAGTTTTTCTTTTTAACCGTGCAAGAATTTCAACAATTATACATGAAATGTTTGGCTAGGTATCTACACATATCAAATAAATAGTTTTCATTTTTCTATAAAAAAGTAAATTACTATGATCTTAATTTTTTTGTATTACATTTTTGTACCTAAACTTTTAAATTTCTGCAAATAGGTTTATTTTTTGTGTGTAATTAAAACACTCTCGAATAAATGAGTATCCATACCCAACTCATACACATTTAGATTATGGAAGTAAATATCCAAACCCTACCCAAACCCATCTACAAACTTCCAAACCCATATATACGTCACCCATACCTTACCTATAATCAATGAGTCTACTTGAGTTTAGGTAAATATCATTTACTAGCCAAAATTTTCAATTATTTTTTTAAAATTGAATGTTGACCGTCATATATCTCTTCTCAGTCAACATCATATTGTCAAGTCAATATTACTAACAAAACTACTAACAAAAAATTAATTTTAGACTAATAATACTAACAAAACACCATAACGGGCCACATAATACATGTTTAATTAAATTATAACTTAGTCACTATAATGTACATTTTACATTTTGATATCTCAAATTTAATTTTAATGTAAAATCATTGAATAATTATGTTTTGATATCTAAATTTTATGAGATTTTCGTACCTATAATTTTTTACATTTACATATTGATCCAATGTTTAGATTTCACTTGAATCCATGAATCCAATCCACCAATCCTTTTGAACCAATCGATGAATCCAAGCCACGGTAATATAAAAGTACAAATTTAGTTTGTACCATACAATATATTGTATCACTCAATTGTAGGAGAAGATTCGACCAATTTATATTTGCTCATTACGTGAAACATTAAATAAATGATAAAAGATAGACGATTCTAAAATATTGCAAAAGCGAATTTATAAACTCATTTAGTACATTTACGGGGTACTAAACAAATTTCTGCTAACTACATGTAACAAAAAATGCGACATCTACATAAGCAAGTGTCAATAAATTGCTACGATGAAAAGGGTTGATTGTTGTATTGACGGCCAACTAAAAGAATTGGTCAAAACCTTTCCATCATCTTATTACTCTTCGTTTCATTTTTCATTCGCCTTCCATAACCTTTTCCTTTATTTCTTTCTTTGTCTTCTTCGTCTGACCCTTATTAGTATACTATTATTTTTATGTATTCTAATCACAATTATGAACGAGTCCATGCACGACTGACCAACAGTCTAGAGAATTAATAATTGAACCATGAACCACTAAATTTTTCAGATCAATGTCGAGTCCAATTAAAAAGTAATATATATATGGTTATTACTTTTTAGACAAACGTCATTTTTCACTATGGGATGTGAAGACGTGAAAGTTTGAACGAGTTTCCTTATAAAAAAAAGAAATTTTAAACGATTTCCAGTTTGTATAACCTAAATTTATTTTTTTGGAATATAAGTCCTCAAAATATTGATGGAACATTACATTTTAGTACCTAAAATGTTTGTGTACTACATTTTAGTACCTGAACTTTTGAAGTTCTACATATAGGTCTAATTTTTGTAAGTGTAATTAAAACACCCTCGAATAAATGGGTATCCGTACCCAACACATACACATTTAGATTATGAATGTAAATATCCATACCGTATCCAAACCCATCTACAAACTTCCAAACCCATATATACATCACTCATACCCTACCCATAATCAATGGGTCTACTTGGATTTAGGTAAATATCATTTAATAACCAAAAATTTTAAATTGAATATTGACCGCCACCACCAAAGATAATAGAACCAACTTCAGGCCGTTGCGGAGCTCGGCCACCACCTATCTAGTTTCATCTTTATGATCTATGCATAAGTGTTTCTCGACTAACAATCACCATTTCCTTAAAGAAGATTGTATATTGAGTTCCTAGCTACATTTATTGACAGATCGAT